AAGGGAAAAAAGAAGTTATAGAGTGAATAGGACTTACATGGTCAAGTACCCGAGTGGGTAAACGGTTGATCAAGAATGCTGCAGTAAGAATAACATCTCCCCAATAGTATTTGGGTACATGTGTCTGAAACATTAATGCACGAGCCACTTCAAGAAAGTGTCGATTTTTTCTTTCAGCAACCTCATTCTGTTGAGGGGTGTCAACACTAGTAAGTTCATGAATCATACCGTTATTTCGTATAAATTGGGAAAAACTGTGATTAACATATTCAGTACCATTATCTGTTCTTAGTCTCTTGATTTTTTTTACCAAATTGGGTCTTAACCATTTTATAAAATTGAGAGAACAGTTGTGGTAGCTCAGACTTTTCACGCATTAAGTAAACCCAAATTACACGAGTGGAATCATCAATAAAAGAAACAAATCATCTATTTCCAGAAGCATGAGGGACTTTAGAAAGACCCCAAACATCAGAATGAATAAGATCAAAAGGTTCAACTCTCTTAGTAATACTAGAAGAAAAAGACACACGATGATGCTTAGCAAACTCACAAACATCACAATGAAAAGACTCAACAGACTTAGACAAAAACAATGACAGAAATAAAGACTTGAGTAAACTAAATGGAGGATGTCTCAAGCGCTTATGATGAAGCCAAATCAAAGAATCAGCAGTTAATTGACCATGAGACATCAAGATGTGATATGTTACTTTGTTTGTGGGAAATTGTGACACCAGATAGTACAACCCACCTTGCTCTTTAGCACTACCAATCGTCTTCCCCGTGGCAAGATCCTGAAAAACACAATGGGTAGGGAAGAAGGTTACAGTACAATTCAAATCTTTTGTAATTTTATGAATATAAAGAAGATTCGTGGAGAGTTTAGAAACATGAAGAGCATCTTTAAGATGTGAGGACTGTTGTAAGTTTATGTCAGCAGAACCCGCAACTGATGTATGTGAGCCATCAGCTATGGCTATTGTATGAGTTTCAATGGTAGGATAATAAGAAGTAAAGGAGTTAGCACAACAAGCCATATGATCAGTAGCACCAGAATCAACAACCCAAGAATGTTTAAAATCATTACATGAAGAAAGGAAAGAATAAGTTTTGGAGCTCATACCAGTCATAGCCAAAGCACTAGTATCATATGGCTTACTCAGATAATCAAGGATGGTTCGGAGCCGTTCCAACTCATCTGGACGAAATGCAGGTTGGGTCTCATTAGGTGCAGGAGTTATTTCAGAAAAAGTAAAATGCGCTTGACCACGCATCCTTGCCATCTTTTCTAAGACAGTTTGCTTTCCATGGAGGCGAAAGCATAAATCCTTGATATGACCTGTTCTTTTACAATAAGAACACCATCAATCATCTCTCTTAGGTCTAGAAGATGCACCATCATAAAACTTTGTAAAGGAACTCCTTTGAGAAAAGGCCATACTGCATAAAGGATAACACCAAGAAGCCAAAAAAAAAAATACCAAACGACGTCCAATCTGAGAGGAAGGAACAGATCTAGAAAGAGGATGAAGAGACGATCAGAACGCTTTTGGCCGGAGCTGGAAATAGTGATCCACGCGCCGGTGGAGATGTCTGCGAGAGGGCCTCACTCGCCGGGAGTGTGGCAGAGCGTGAGAGCGCGTGCGGCGGGCGCCGGAGCTGAGATTTCTGCTGCGAGGTCGTCCAACGGTCCCGGACTTGTTTGTGTCCGGTCGGAGTTGAAAGGTTGCCAGAAAAGTGTCCAAAACGCGATGAACAGTAGCGGCCTTGTGTTGTTTTAGGGAGATCCAATCGTCAAACGATTATAACACGTCTGTAAGCTGATAGATTAGAGAAAAAGATTTGAATACAGGTCCTCTTGGTCCAAAAGGTCCACCGAAAAATTTTCCGGTGGCGGCTAATGGCGGCGAAAGGCTGAGAAAGAAGGTTTCTGTTTTAACGAAGGTAATTGCGGATGCAGAGCCCTCAGAATCGAGAGCTCTGATACCAACTTGAAAGAAAATGATATTTGAAATATTATTGAATTGTGTAATTAATCTGTACAAAGAAGTCTCTATTTATAGAAAATGAAAACCATAATACTTGACCTAATGAGCTTGACAATAAATAATAATAATTAAATAACCAATATTTACAATTAAACATCAATTTGAGACAGTTGCTATGAACCTTCCGCTATGCATAGGGTTCAAGCAAGAGCCAGACCCATTGTATTATTACATTGTACTATTGCAAGAGAGTGATTAAATGAATTGAAAATGTGACCCAAGTAACATGACGACAAAACCTTCCAAAACTATAACATTTAAGAGTAAATATCTTTTTCAGTCCTCAATAAATTTTACGATACCTACTTTAGTCCTTAACAAATAAAAAAGCTATTCGTAGTAACTAAGAAATTCAAAGTGAACCCATTTTAGTCCTTTCGAGGAACTAATGTGGGTCTTTTTTGAATTTGTGAGAGACTATGATTTCAACTAAATGGGTCTATTTTTTTTTTTTAATTTCTTAAAAATCACGAATAACCTTTTTTATTTGCCAGAAACTAAAGCGGGTATCGTAAAATTTGCTGAGTACTAAAAAGAATATTTACTCTAAGATTAATGTGTAAAGAAATTTAACAAATCATGGTAAAACACCTTGGGTCAAGTGAAACATTCGTCTCCAAATTTTCCTTTACAATTGTGCTGCATTTGTTCCTGCACTTTTGAACCACTGATCAAATTACAATCCCCTAGCATTTTATCCGTAAGAAAACTCAGCACATAGACCCTGGCCTATTGAATAGGACCGTTGGTGTCACTGGTTTTCTCCAATTTTTCTTCTTTATACCGTTCTCTTTCCTAGAGTCATTGTCTTCATGCTTGACCATCCGAAAATCCCCATTATCCTTAAGCTTCTTGCTAGAATTCTCCTTTGATGCAGATTTTCTCTTCTTTGTTGGAGAGCGTGTGCTAGGCTCTGCACTCCGTGGTAGCGTGTGCTTGACCATCCGAAAATCCCCCTTTACGCTCCAGCAAGACAGGGTCTGTTAAAATAATAAATAGAAAATGGACTAAGACAGAGACTTATAAGACAATATTCAACTGCAGCTGCTTGGGTAAATCTCCCGTTCTCCCCTACCAATTATCTTTCTTAGAATTTTGGTAGGCAAATATCTTTGATTCCAAATTTTAATCTATTTCTTCACCAAATATTCAGCACAGCAATTTCTCCGAAAATGTATGGACTATGGACCATGGCTTTGGAAATGAAAATAGTGATTCAAAACAATCATTGCCTCTGAAAAGTAGAGGGACCAAACAAAGGGGAAAAAAATTAATATATTGTTTTTTAATATAAAATTATGAAAACGTAGTCATTTCAAATGTAAATACAAATTTATAACACTCAAACATAGAGACGTGACCTGTGGAGAGACACACGCCGGGCGGCGTGTTTTAGGAGAGAGACACCCCAAATGGTGACACGTGACACAAAGAGTCAATAATTTGACTATAAAACTTTGAAAGTTTATAACTTTTAACTCGGGTGTCCGAATTAGGTAAAAAAAAAAATTAATTTCACATAACTTTTCGAGATCTACACAATGACACATCATTTGGCATATTTTTCTCTCACAAAAAAATTTGAATTTACAATAATGATACTATAAGAAAGTTTAAACCAGATTAATAAAGAAAAAACCACTGTCATGATTATAAACATTCCTAGTAAAGATCCTTATGATTATGGTACCATTATTGCAAATTGAAATTATATTTATAGAATAAAAAACTTCAATTTAAATAACATCGTTCACACTCAGATATAAAATATGCAAAGCGGAGCACTAGGAAGCAATTTTTGAAAAAAAAAAATTGACCAAGTCCTCTATGAGAACTTGCCAACATGTTAATATCGAAAAGTTATACGAAAAAAAAAAAATCTGATTCGGGCACCGAGATCAGAATTATAGCCTTCTGAAGTTTTACGATAAAATATTTAAAATTTTGAAAAATAATTGACCAAATCCCCTTTAATGAGACCTCATTGCATAGATCTCAAAAAGTTGTTTTGAATAAAAAAAAATTATCTAATTCGGATACCTGATCAACAGTTATGACCTTCTAAAATTTTACGATCAAATGGGACATGTCTTTCTCCTTAAAGATGCCCCCTGTGGGGTGTGTCTTTCACCATCAAGTCACACCTTTTGTGTAGGGCCGGCAAAATGGGCTGAGCCCGCCGGGCTGGCCCGCCCCGCCTGCCAAATAGGGCGGGCTGGGTTGAGTTTTTCAACCCACCAGCCCGCCAAACCCGCCAGCCCATTTGGGTCAGCCCGCCACGGGGCGGGCTAGCCCGCCAAGTCCTTTTTTTTTTTTTTTAGATTACCCAATTGTTATGTAGCTCCGTATCGTAGATTTCTCTGCATGCAAGTGGCTTTTTTGAATTGTTGTGGACTGCTCATACAACACTTTGTTACTTGTTTTGTTACTCTATTTTATCCTGATATGATTTTATTTTTTTATTATTATTTTTGGATTGAAAGATGCATATTTATATGCAGATTATTAAACACTGATCTTCTTGGTTTCATAAGAACATTAGGATTTTATGCAAATTTTTGTATGCTTTTATGCAGATTTTTTTATGTGATTTTATGCAGAATTTAATTTTTTGTATTTTACTTTTATATTTTTTTATTTTAGGCGGGCTGGCCCGTAGCCCGCCAGCCCACTCATAAAACGGGCCGGGTTACTCAATTCAACCCATTTTGTCAAAACGGGCCGGGGCGGGCCAGCCCATTTTGGGCGGGCTAGTGGCGGGCCGGGTCGGGCTGGCCCATATTGCCAGCCCTACTTTTGTGGAGCGTGTTTGAGTGCTATAAATTTGTATTCACATTTAAATAGACTGTATTTTCATAAATATTTATTAAAAAAATAATATTTAATTTTTTTTACAGCAAGCAAAGGGCGGAAAAGATTGCAACCTTAAAAGAGAGAGAGCGAGTGACAAAGGGAAGATTATCAAAGATCCTCCAACATATAGATACGAAAAAAAAAAAAGAATCCAAAGAAGCTCAAGAATTCAGACATCGAGTCTCCACTAAAACAAACTGAACAGAGGACAAGAGACAATTCAACCCATATTATCCCCAACTACACCCACTAAAAACTCCACTAAAACAAACTGAACAGAGGACAAGAGACATGTAATGGTCACAAACTTAGAGCATGTCATTGGCAAAAAGAAGTGCTTTTGAGTTTTATGCAATGCCAAAGATTACAATGCATTAGAAAGAAGAAAAAAAAAAGTGAATTTTATTTCAATCGTTGATATAGAGGTGGATCATATGTTTGAATAGAAAAGCCTTATAGTGAAGGCCAGTGAGGAAACAGTGAACTTTGAAAGCATATTTAAGAATCGCTAACCCGCAACATGGCCATCAGCATGGCAAGGAGGGCATAAGAACCAACCCCACCAGAATATACCTGCATTCATTATAAGAATCTTCAATTAGGCAGACTGGAATCCAGATCATTACAAAGGTAAGAAAGATATAACATATTTAAGAAAAAATCTACCTCATTTAGTTCTCTTTGCTGCAAAAATGCTTTCAAAATCAAACACAGCCGTGGCCACTTAGCCACTGCTTCCAGCAAATTCAACGGCTCAACCATTAACAAGAATATACATAATGCTACAGAATACTCAAGAGAATATTTGTTCTGTTTCCAATTTTAATTTCCTTAAAGAAAAGGAAAAATAAAAATAAAAATTGAGAGTGCAGGTGGAATTTTGAGATGTTTGTCTTTTTCAGACCTCCTTTTGCTCATTGGAGTTTTACTTTTTGCTTGCATAATTGATTTATCGCAGATTAACAAAATTTTACAATGATGTAAGCATTTGGGTTTCACTAATTTGATGGTCTATTCAATACACCTTAGAAAACATTGAGAAGATTGGTATGCAGCCTTGCCAATCCAGCTGTCAGGCACGTGATTGGAGAGACTCAGTTTGCGGCGTATAGCTTCAAGCAGAAAGCGGATTGACTCCACAAATGACACACTCAGATAGCCAAGAGCCACAGAACCTAGACTGTAACGCGTAAGCCTCTTTCATGGAGTAAACGACCGAAATAAAAGGAATTTATGGCTGCATTGAGAAAGATGAATTTCTGAGCCAAATAGAAAACCACGGCCCTGCAAAGGCTGGGATACATATCATTCAATCTTATCAAAGTTTACTAGTCTTCACGAAATTTTTTTGGAATAGTAGAAAAATGAGATAGATAGAAAAATAATTGGAAAGATAGATAAAGTGAGATAGGTAAAAAAATATAAAAAAAAATTATTTAGTGGAGAAAAATTTTACTAGAAAAATTAGTTAACTTTATGAAATCAACAGTGCATTAAAAGCTAAATAACCGATTTTCCAAAAAATCTCACCAGTGCGGATATCTATCTTTCTCATAAATCCAGAGAATTAGATAGATGGATTTTTGGTGAAAAACATTGAAACAAACATGATATTTCTAAAAGCCATACTTGAAAAACATAGATATCCTCTCAAAAAATTCCTAACCAAACACCACCTTACTGAATCCTGTGAATTATGGAAAAAATAAATCTATGAATTGTATTTTTCATTTCATTTATGAATAAAGCGTTTTTGACTTACAGATGCTTCACCACGGGTCCAATAATAAGATGCAACAAATCCAGCAATCACTGTTGATGAGCATGCTATGAAAAATTGTGTTGCCCAATAACACCCAAATAGGTGAAAAAGGATGGCACCTCCAATATGTGGTGTGTAACGAATGCTGTATACACAACAACGATCACAGATCACCTTTTTCTCCATTTAGATCATATGCTGAACAAATGGAGAGCAGCAGAAATCCAGAACATGTAGAACACAGCAAGGATACCATATTGTTTGACCATGATTGGAAGCTCAACCTCTGACAAATATTTTCAAGGTTAATGCAAATATTGCTAACAGGTTGCTGCAAAAGTGATAGGAGAAGTTCAAGCACTTATTATTTTTCCGATCATACCATATGGTATCCTTGCATGCTATTTAAATACAACAGCACATCTCAAGGAATAAAAAAAATAAACCAACAAAAAATACTTAATGAAATACTTAAAGAATTTATCATGCGACCATACAAAATTTCCTACACATAACATTTTCTATATGTACGGCCCGTATTTTTTTTGTAAGAAAAAAAAAAATTACCACACTAAAAAACGAATCTCAAAATCACAAAGCCATACAGAAACCTAAGCTGGGTATAAATCGAATGTCGTAGTTGACACTTCACTTGATTCCTATCCTCAGCTCCAAATCAATCTTTTCAAAGGGTACGCGGTTGGTATGAAACATCTAACTACGGGAATAGATCCATAGTAGGCAGCGGTGGCGACACTTTCACGTATGAAGTTGCTTCCTTGGCTGCTTTGGAATGAAAGACCACTAATTTCTCTGCATAATCTCTCAGTGCTCTTCTTCGAGTTTCTATGGATCTAATGGAAGTGCCACCGTCACCACCTACTATGGATCTAGTCTCGATATTCCATACCAACCATCCTTCGTCCTTTAAGTTGGAGGATTTGAAGAGGTTGATTTGGAGCTGAGCCTCCAGTTATACCCAGCTAATGCTGGCTGCAATTAAAAAAAAAAAAAACATATACGCAATAGATAGGTGTCAAGATTGAAAACGAACAGTGATATTTATATTTTAAAATTTGGATGTAACAGGATTCATTTCTTTAATGGAACGTGGACAACACCGAACACACGCGGCTCTAAAATGATAGAACAAATGTCAAAAATCACAGAACAGATGTTCTGTCTTCTGTATACCGTCCTCTGTAAGCGGTGATAAATGAATGCGAAATAATAATATTATGTTACATAAGATTGTTATCTTATGTTTTAGAAACAACTTAAACGTGGGACTCATTTTAAATTTTTTTTCTCTTCCTTATTCTCTCTCATCTCTCTTTTCTATGTGTGTGTAGGAGATAGCTCTTCTCCTATGCAACATGAGAAAAGACAATCCCTAAATAAATCTACGAGCTTATAGGCTTAAAATTGATAGTTGGAATCAAGGTTTGAATTGTGTACTTGTATAAAAAAACTCATTTAATAAAAAATTTATAATGTATTTACGGTTGACTCAATACACATGGCCTAATCATCAATTCAAGAAGCCCCAAATCAATTAGAATTATGGCCCAACTAGTAAATTACTTGTGCGATGCCCGGAGGAAAAAAAAATGAAATTGTTGTCGTCGTCGTTGGTTAATCATCGCACCGATAAATCAACACATTTATCTTGCTATCAAGCTCTGAATAGTACAATGGTGGAGGTATAAACATGAAGAAACAAAAGCAATCCTGTTACTTGAGAAATATCAGCATTTTATATCAGCATATAATATATTTTTATATTTATCCACAAAAATGATTCTTATAGTTGCGTCTAGATTATTATCTATCTATGTTTTCTGTAGTAAGACAATAAACATAATAATAAATATAAAAAAGTGTTGGTGAGCATGGGCGGGTCGACCCTCCGGGCCAAGTCCATTTTGCCACTTCCAACTGTCAGCATTTTATATAAGCATGTCATAGGTTTTTATATCTATCAACAACAAAAAATTTCTTATAGTTGCATCTAGATTACTATCTATCTATGTTTTCTATATTTAGACAGTAAACATAAGAAAAAAAGAAGTGTTGACGGACGGGGTGGGCCGACCCTCCGGGCCGAACCCATTTTACCACCTTAACTGTCAGCATTTCATATAAGCATAAGAAAAAAAAAGTGTTGGCGGTAAACATAAGAAAAAAAAAGTGTTGGCGGGCGGGGTGGGCCGGCCTCATTTTACCACCTTAACTATCAGCATTTCATATAAGCATGTAATAGATTTTTATATCTCCACAAAAAAGATTTTTATAGTTGCGTCTAGATTACTATCTATATATGTTTTCTATACTTAGACAGTATACATAAGGAAAAAATATGTTGGCCGGGCTAACACTCCTGTTTGGCGGGCGGGGAGGGTCGGCCCGTCGGGCCGAGCCCATTTTGCCACATATATCTGTCAGCATTTTATACCGGCATGTAATAGGTTTTTATATTTATCCACAAGAAAAAATTTCTTATAGTTGCCTCTAGATTACTATCTATCTATGTTTTATATAATTAGACAATAAACTTAAGAATAAAAAAAAACTGTTGGTGCGCTTGCCATCTCTAATAGTCAGCATTTTATATCAGCATGTAATTATTTTTTATATTTATCCACAAAAATGATTCTTATAGTTTCGTCTCGATTATTATCTATCTATGTTTTCTGTAGTTAGACTATAAACATAATAATAGATATAAAAAAGTATTGGTGAGCATGGGCGGATCGGCCCTCCGAGCCGAGCCCATTTTGCTACCTCAAATTGTCAGCATTTTATATAAGCATGTAATAGGTTTTTATATCTATCAACAACAAAAAATTTCTTATAGTTGCATCTAGATTATTATGTATCTATATTTTCTATATTTAGACAGTAAACATAAGAAGAAAAAAAGTGTTGGCGGGCAGGGTGGGCCGGCCCTCTAGGCTGAACCCATTTTATTGAGAGGGGGCGGAAAATAAAAATACCTCTTCATAAATAAAAGTACTTCAAATACAATACAGACCTAATATGCAAAAAATTGAAAGAAATCTATTACAGAAATTAAGATCACTTCACTTGACTCTTACTCTACGTGTTTTCATATAGATAAATCCATCTACAATAAAAACAGATCCAGAAAATGTTTAAATAAATTATAGATATTCAAAAAAAAATTATAGATAAATAAATAAATTAAAAAAATGTATGTGGAAATGCATTGTACCAAAATGATGCTTGGACAAGCTGTTGAATCCAATAAAATTATTCAAATATAATCATCAAGATATATTGTAGAACAACACTCCAGCAAGCTAACCAACATTGAAAAGTAAACACTTTCATATCTCAGAGTCAAAAAAATAAAAATATATACACTAAAAAAATACACCAACAGATTAGTAAATGAAGCATTTGAAAATTAGAAATATTACAAGTCCCCAATAAATATGTTGTTATGCTCTTTTGTATTTCACCTTGAGTTTTGAATTTTTTTTTTAATTTATTGGTTCATCTATGTTTTGAATTTTTTTTTAATTTATTTGTCCAACATAATTTATTCTTTCAGTTTGAAAAGTAATCCTCAATAAAATATTAAAGCATTAAAAAACATTAACGCACCGAACGTTGGTATAAAAAAATATTAATCAATGGAAGAAGATAATGAGTCGCAACAAAACATTCAAAACATGGGGATGAACGGATTTCGAAACAAAACAATAGCATAATAGCAGCATTTTTAATGTCATAAAAAAACCAAAAAAAATAGAGATAGTGAGAGACCTGAGCTGAGAAGATTTATTAAAATTGAGAGAGATAAAGGTTTTTTCCATGGGAATGCAGATGGGGCCATGAGGATTTGTTAAGAGAGAGAGAGAAAGAGAGAGGGGTTTTTTTTCCAAATGATTCCATAGTGGAATGACAATAGGAATAAAAAAAGATTGAGTTTAGTGTGATATCTGATGGTGCCATATAGAGTAATTTTATATTATACAATTTTTTAAACAAATAATTTAATAATATTACTAAAATTTTATTTTACATATATATTTAAAAAATTCTTTAAATTGGGGGGCGGTGGCCCACCCTAGCCCCCCCTAAATCTGCCTCTGGAGTCCACTCCATCTGCTATTCGAGTGGGAGTGCGATCATGGAGCATGGTCCACATAAAGGTTTTGATTTGCTCTGGCTCTCTCCATCTCCACAGCCTCCTCTAATTGCGGGTAGCTTCCTCCTGCGCATATCTTGTTATGTTGTAATAAGTCAACTTGACTGGGGAGCAGGAAGCTTTATAGTTAGCCCAGATCATTCTATCCTCTCTTTTATTTGGCTTGGGCGTTGGACGACTAATGATATCTCTTACAAGCTCTTCATTTAAAACTCTCTTCAAGTACTCTTGATTCCATTCCCCTTGGTGAGTAACACCACACTCCTTAATGCTCTTGTTTAAGTCATCCTGAGATGGTCTATTTGGTGCAAGGTGCTCAAGATTAGTTTCCCCCCCTTTCTCTCTCTGTCTCTGTAGCTCTTCATTTTTGTCAAAAGCACACAATTCAAGAAAAGAAGATAAAAACTTAAATTATCCTCCTAGGGGCTTTTAGCTCCTTTTTTATTATAAGTGCTTGTTTGGATCCTCTCTTTTTTAAAGTAGAAGCTTCTTATAAGCATAACATAGACCAGACAAGTTTTGAGAAAAACTCTTATAATGAAAAATTATTTTTTATAATGCAGAAAAAAGCTAAAAGCTCCTAGGAGGAGCTTTTTCTGAAACTTTTATCTGCTTTCTTGAATTATGTGTTTTTTTTAAATGAAGAGTTATAAAGATATAGAAAGATAGTTTTCTTGAAATATGTGTTTTTAAGTAATTTTTAAGCTAAAATTTTTAATTAATTACCAAACAGCTTTTAACTTCTTTTTCTAAGCTCTTTTTTTCAGCTTTAGCTTATAAGTAGCTTCTAGCTTTAAAAAAGAGGATCCAAACAGGCTCTAAAAAAAACATTTTCATTATAAGAGCTTTTCTCAAAACCTGTTTGGCTTAACTTATGCTTATAAGTAGCTTCTAGTTTAAAAAAGAGAGGATCCAAACAGACACTTATTTTAAGCTCTTATATATTTTTCTTGAATTGTTTTTTTTTTTAAATGAAGAGCTATAACGATTTAGAGAAAGAGAGTTTTATTGAAATATGTGTTTTTTTTTTTGTAAATTGAAATATGCGTTTGTAAGTTAAAAATTTTATATAATTATCAAACAGTTTTTAGCTTTTCTTTTTAAGCACTTTTTTTAGTTTTAACTTATAAATAGTTTCTAACTTAAAAAAGAGATATTCCAAACATGCTCTTAGGGACATTTGATAGAGGAAAATAAAATTTATCTGGGAATCACGATTATCTAGAATATGATCAAAAAATGAGTTTTTTGAGAATGTTACCAAAAAGGTATTTAGTAGACTAAAATATTACCGAAAATATTGGCTCAAGATTACTCCATCTATGTTTTGTTGATCGTGAAATATCACTTGGAATGTAAGAACATTTTACAAAAATAAGCTCGTGTCAAATATTGTTTTTTCTTCAAATTTCTTCCTTCTTCCAAATTTGAATGTTCTTGATGTGAATATGAAAAATCAATTCAAGGTCTTGTGGCAAAAACTTGTTGTCTTCTAACAACACGGGTTATTGAATAACTAAGAACATTAATTTTTCCATTCAACCCTTTTTCATTGATCTATACTTATTACTCATATAGAAGTTAGTTTTAGAGTATTAAGCAGTTGCATAATGTTTATTATTTTTTTGGTCGGTGCAGTCATCGCATCACTAGATATTCAAAATATTGGCTTCTAAAATTTCAAGGGAAAGTCCAACTGAGCGTGACTTGCTGGAACGAGAAAGATAAAAACACTATGGGCTCAACAACATCGCATCATGTCAGTTCAACAAAAACACCGTGGGTTTTATCTACTCCTTCACCAATGTGACTTGCTAGAACCAGAAAGAGAAAAGAGCAAAAAAGAAGAACAAAGAACGCAAAACCAAAAAGAAGAACAAAGAAGAGAAGGGTTAATTTTGT